TCATACTATTAATAATGAAAGTAGCTAAAATATACAGACGGTCTCAACTGATCCAAAACCCTTCTGAAATATCAGATAAACATAAATCAAGTAAGAGCATTATCAGAATATATAAATGAGATGGTGTCACTCCCCTCATGAGACAGTGATATAAGCAAAAAACAAATGTTTGTTGCTGTAAGCAACTGAAATATGGGGGTCGTTTGTGCCGCAGCAAAAGCTGACTGATATAAGGACAATCCACAGCTTAGCAATGAGTATTTACATAGTCATAATAATATTAATATTGATTCAACAGAGATTCAATCAGAAAGCTAAAATTAAAAGTTGTGATATAATTATGTTAGAAGGGTCAGAGAGAGAGGGAGATGAGTAAAACAGTTAAATCTAAATGTAACACAGAAACAAATCAATAATGTCTAAAGTTGAAAAATCAAGAAATAGAAGTATATTATTTAGAGTTATGTAGGTAAGGTGCAAAAGACACATTAAAAGAACTGGAAGTCTGGCCAGGTGCAGTGGCTCACATCTGTAATCCTAGCACTTTGGGAGGCTGAGGCAGGCTGATTACTAAAGCTGAGGAGTTCGAGACCAGCCTGGGCAACATGGTGAAACCCCATCTCTACTAAAAATACAAAAATTAGCCAGGCGTGGTAGTGCACACCTGTGGTCCCAGCTACACGGGGACTGAGGTAGGAAGATCACTTGAGCCCAGGAGGCAGAGGCTACAGTGAGTCCTGATCATGCCACTGCACTCCAGCCTGAGAATCTGTCTTAAAAAAAAAAAAAAAAAAAAAAAGTTTTTGCCTTACGGGAGCTAGAATAAAATGTAAGAAGGATGCAGGTAAGAGATAATCTTTTTGTTTATAAGACTAATAGTAACATTTGATTTTTTTTAAAGAATGAATGTATTAACTTTATAAAAATTTTAACTCACAAGCACAAAGATAAAAAACTACAATAAAAAAATCTAGGGAAGCAATCATGCCGAATTTATTAAAAAAAGAAAGCTATACAGGCATACCTTGTTTTATTGCACTATGCTTCATTGTACTTTGCAAATACTGTGTTTTTTGTAAATTGAAGATTTGTAGCAACCCTGAGTTAAGCCAACTATTATTGCCATTTTTCCAACAAGATGTGCTCACTTCATGTCTCTGTGTCACACTGAGATAATTCTTGCAATATTTCAAAGTTTTTCATTATTATTATATCTGTTAGGGTAATGATCGGTGATCTTTGATGTTACTATTATAATTGTTGTGGAGTGCTACAAACCACACTGAGAAAGATGGCAAATTTAACCAATAGATACTTTGTGTGTTCTGACTGCTCCACTGACTGGCTGTTCCTGGTCTCTCCCCCGCTCTTCAGGCTTCCCTATTGACTGAGACACAAAAATATTGAAATTATTTGCCAATAATACAATAGTCGCTACGTTTCAAGTAAAACCTAGTGTCAAGTGAAAGGAAAAGGGTTGCACCATCTCTCACCTTCAATCAAATGCCAGAAATGATTAAGCTTAGTGAGGTAGGCATACTGAAAATCAACATAGGTCAAAAGCTAGGCCCCTTGCGCCAAACTGCCAATTGTGAATGCCAGAGAAAAATTCTTGAGGAAATTAAAAGTGCTATTCCAGTGAGCATACAAATGATACAAAAGTAAAAAAGCCTTATTGTTGATATGGAAAAAGTGAGTGGTCTGGATAGAAGATCAACCAGCCACAACATTCCCTTAAGCCAAAGCCTGATCCAGGGCAAGGTTCTAGTTCTCCTCAAGTCTATGAAGGTTGAGAAAGGTAAGGGGGCTGCAGAAGAAAAGTCTGAAGCTAGCAGTGGCTGGTTCATGAGGTTAAAGGAAAGAGGCCATCTCCATAACATAAAAGTACAAGGTGAAGCACCAAGTGCTGATGTAGAAGCTGCAGCAAGTTATCCAGAAGACCTAGCTAAAGTAACCGATAAAGGTGACTACACTCAACAACCATCTTCAATGTAGAGAAAATAGACTACTCCTACTATTGAAAGAAGATACCATCCAGGACCTTCATGGCTGGAGAGAAGTCAATACCTGGCCTCAAAGCTTCAAAAGACAGACTAATACTCTTGTTAGGGGATAATGCGGCTGTTGCCTTTAAGTTGAAACCAATGCTCATTTACCATTCTGAAAATCCTAGGGCCCTTAAAAATTACTCTCAATCTATTCTGCCTGTGCTTTTGAAATGGGAAAACAAAGCCTGAATGACAGTATATCTGTTTACTTCACAACATGGTTTACTGAATACTTTAAGCCTACAGTTGAGACCCACTGCTCAGGAAAAAAAAAAAAGATTCCTTTCAAAATGTTACTGCTCATTGACAATGCACTTGGTCACCCAAGAGCTCTCATGGAAATGTATAAGGAAATTAACGTTGTTTTCTTGTTTGCTAACACAGCATTCATTCTGCAGTCCATGGATCAAGGAATAATTTTGACTTCCAAGTTTTATTATTAAAGAAATACATTCTATAAGGCTATCGCTGCCACAGACAATGATTGCTCTGATGGATATGGGCAAACTGAAAATCTGGAAAGGATTCACCATTCCAGATCCATTAAGAACATGCGTGATGGGAGGAGGTCAAAATGTCAACATTAACAAGAGCCTGGAAGAAGTTGATTCTAACCTTCATGGATGACACTGATAAGGATTCAAGACTTCAGTGGACAAGTTACTTGCAGATGTAACTGCAAGAGAACTAAAATTAGAAGTGGAACCTGAAGATGTGATGGAATTGCTACAATTTCATGATAAAACTTGAATGGATGAGGAGTTGCTTCTTATGCATAAGCAAAGAAAGTGGTTTCTTAAGACACAATCTACTCCGGTGAAGATGTTGTGAACATTGTTGAAATAACAACAAAAATTTTAAAATACAACATAAACTCAGTTGATAAAGCAGTGGCAGGGTTTGAAAGGATTGGCTACGATTTTGAAAGAAGTTTCACTGTGGGTAAAATGCTATCAAACAGCACTGCATGTACAGAGAAATCTTTTACGAAGGAAGACTCAATCAATGTAGCTATCTTCACTGCTGACTTATGTTAAGACATTGCCACAGCCACCCCAACTTTCAGTGACTACCACTGTGATCAGTCAGCAGCCATCAACACTGAGGCAAGACCTTTTGCCCCACGAAGATTATGACTTGCTGAAGGCAAGCCAGATGATTGTCAGAATTTTTTTAGTAATAAAGTATTTTAAATTCAAGTATGTACTTTTTAAAAGATATAATGCTACTCTACACTTAATAGATGACTGTAGAGTATAAACACAACTTTTTTGTTTGTTTGTTTTTTAAGATGGAGTCTTGCTCTGTTACCCAGCCTGGAGTGCAATGGTGCGATCTCGGCTCACTGCAACCTCTGCCTCCCAGGTTCAAGCATTTCTCCTACTGCAGCCTCCCAAGTAGCTGGGAATACAGGCACCCGCCACCATGCCTGGCTAATTTTTTTTTGTATTTTTAGTAGAGATGGGGTTCACTATGTTGGCCAGGCTGGTCTCAAGCTCCTGACCTTGTGGTCCACCCGCCTCAGTCTCCCAAAGTGCTGGGATTACAGGCATCAGTCACCGTGTCCACCCAGTAAACACAACTTTTATATGCACTGGGAAACCAAAAATTTCATGTGACTTGCTTTATTGCAATAGTCACTTTACTGCAGTAGTCTGGAACTGAATCTGCAATATTTCAGAGGTATGCCTGTATTTTGATTCTGAAAGGCAAAAAACAAACAAACAGACAAAAACCACAAACCCAGTTAGAATCAGAAGACCTGGTATTATTTTGTTTACTTAATGAAAACCACATAGTATTACTAGTCCCTTTGTGCAGTATCATAGTCTTACATTTTCAATTCCAGATGCCACTGACAATATTATCACAGGAAAGATGTTGCCGAAAGGTGAGACAATATTAAGGGCTAACCTTTTATATATGCAGCTCTGAATTACACATAAGTTAATTATTATCTATTCTACAGATTATCTATGATCACTCAATGCTTTCTTCCTAACAATTACTACCTTTGGCCATTTCAGTAATCTTTCACAGCATCACCAAAGAATGAGAAAATGATTAGAAGTAAATTAGTAAATGTTGCTTCTTTGTTAACAACTATAATGCAGGGTCAGTTAAAACTCAGTTTGTGAATGGTATTATTCACAACACAAATAAATTAAGAAGTAATAGGCAAGGCACAGTGGCTCATGCCTATAATCCTAACACTTTGGGAAGCTGAGGCAGGAGGATCATTTGAGATCAGGAGGACAACACGAACCCGGACGACACAGCAAGACCCCATCTCCACAAAAAATTAAAAAATTAGCCAGGAGTGACGACACATGCCTGTAGTCCCGGCTACTTGGGAGGCTGAGGCAAGAGGACTGCATAAGCCCATGAGTTTGAGGATGCGGTGAGCTATTAGTGCACCAATGCACTCCAGCCTGGGCAACAGAGTGAGACCCTATCTCTCTCTAAAAAAAAAGAAGTAATATATTTTATAAAATAATTTACTATACGATTCCTTTAATTAGTAGGCCAGCATTTAAATTATTGATTTACCAAAATTCGGCCACAGTTTTCTAGAGATACATTTATTGAGCAAAGAACAATATACCTAGCTGTTCAAGGTATAATAACAGAAGAAAGCTATTTATAAATGAGATATTGCTATTACCTGTAGATTTCACTTATTATGCTAATAATCTCTCTCTTTAGCATAAACATATGGAAGCTATCAGACTCCTACAAATTTCAGGTAGTAACTTCTAAAACATAGATAAAAATATGTTTGACACAATCACAGAACATATCTTAACTAGGTAACAGCATCTCATTTAGATATTCTGATATACTCTTAGCCATGCTGTACTTTGAGTTGTAGTTCATTGGCCTACCATTTAGGAAAAAGCACTGGGGCAGAACAACCATAGGAAAATAATTAACAGGGCATGTTTTTCATACCTCTTCATCTTTTACATTCACATCCACATTTTTCGATTTGATGGCTTTGGTTATATGGTCAATGTTGTTTTCCCTGCAGTAATCAAATATATTTTTGTCTTCTTCCCTAGAATAAAAAAAAGAAAGGTCTTTTTCTTACTGGGTAATACAAAAAAGTTACATATTTTCAACACAATCTGTTTGCTGCTGACATAGATGTTAATGGACTGTTTAAAAAAAAATTTACATGAACAGTAATAGTTTTTCAGTAGCTGTAATACATCCAACTCCTGAAAAGACTAAAGTTCTTAGTTTCCCACTTGCCTTACAGGATAAGAGAATAAATTGTTACTCAAGTTTTTAAAATATACATGAAAGTTATTTTCTTAAAGCAAAGAAAATCAATTAGACAAAAAGAGGACGGCATTAAAAAATTCAGAAATCCTTTATAAGATAGTAGAATCAAAGACTAGAAAGAAAAGCTGGGAAGCATACTACATACCCAGCACTCTTCTAAGTATATTGTATGTGCTAATTCACTTAATCTTTCATCCAACAACTTCACTTTACAAATGAAGAAACAGGCAAAAAGGAGACATTAAATGACCTGCCAAATGGTACTACATTTATCAAAGGTAGAATAAGAGCTAGAATTCACTTAGATCAACTGATTTTGTATATAGTACATTTTTCTATTATATTATGCTGCCTTTTGACTAATCAGCTGCAGTCTATTCCAAAATCTGAAGCAGAAGTTCTTAACATGAAATCTATGGGCTCTCTAAATAATGTACAGAATTATCTTTATAATGCAGGTGCATTTTTCTGGCTGTTGTATGTACAGGGGGAAGAACTGTTTCAATCAGATTCTCAAAAAAATCAGTGACTCCCATAAAGATCAGTAATTTATAATATTAACAATCAAACTGCCCCATATGTGGACTGAATGTTATGAACAAGTATAAAGGAATGCATTTTCCGTTCCAAAAGTCAAACTAATGTGTTTTATGACTTGCAATGCCATAGCATCCATTCATCAGAAAGCAAAACACCTGGTCATCGGAGTTCTTATATCTTAAAAGCCAATCTAAACATCTTGTGCCATATACAGTCATAGCTAATTTTCTTAAAAGACACTACTTTGGCATCAGCCATCTAAGCATTCTTTAAGCATCTGAAGTATTTTATTGAGCACCTACTACATGTAAGGCACTGGACAAGAATTTGTTGATAACAGATACAAGGCTAAGCAAGAAAGTTTGCCTTTAAGACACAAACAGTATAGTTGGGATGACACAAATCTACACAGGATTAACATAAAAGCTGAATCCTTAACAAGGACTACAAGAAAAGAAAGGAGAAACAACTTGCTTCAAGCTAGAGAAAATGAAGTAGGTTTTAAGTAAGAAATCATGTTTAATAGGTCTATATGGTCACTTGAAGAGGCCCTGTTAAACGGAAGAGAAAATGCTTTTTCGATCTTATTCTGTAAAGAAAATAAGAAGTGAGGCCAAACCCCAGAAAAGAAAATTCTGATTTTAAAAAGTAGAGCTGCAAATAATACCACTTTAGTCATATTTAACCACCATTAAAAACACCATGTCTCAGGAGGCTGAGGCAGGAGAATGGCGTGAACCTGGGGGGCGGAGCTTGCAGTGAGCTGAGATCCCATCACTGCACTCCAGCCTGGGCAACAGAGCCAGACATCATCTCAAAAAATCAAAAAAACAAACAAAACAAACAAACAAACAACAAAAAAAAACCCATGTCCGCACTTTGGGAGGCCGAGGCGGGTGGATCATGAGGTCAGGAGTTTGAAACTAGCCTGACCAACATGGTGAAACCCCGTTTCTAATAAAAATACACAAATTAGCTGGGAACGGTGGCACATGCCTGTAATCCCAGCTACTCAGGAGGTTGAGGAAGGAGAATCACTTGAACCCAGGACGTGGAGGTTGCAGTGAGCCAAGATCATGCCACAGCACTCCAGCCTGGGCGACAGAGTGAGACTCTGTCTCAAACAAACAAAAAAACAAACACCATGTCTATGAAAGAATACCTTCAGAGTTCCAACTTAAGGATAATAGGGACCTACTTTCTTTCAATCCAGTAACAGAAAACCCACTAATTCAAGAGGCACCAACCTCAACTGTTACAGAAAGGACTGTGTCTTTTAAAATCATAGCAATACTACAGTGCTACTCGCCAATTGTTTTTGAATTGGAAAATAATGGGAAGTTGGTGGTAGGGCACAGAAAGGAAAGCAGAAGGATCCTTGGCATATGGGTTACCCATACTCAGTAATATGAAAGGGTTATTCACAGATGAGAGGACCTTTGGAGTGGCCCCTATTCCTGAGTCCAACTTCCAAATGTGCATGTATACCTATGCTATCAGCAGTAAAGAAGTAAACACAGTACAAACACAAATAAATTTCTATTTTGTTTAATGTATCTTAAATATGTTTCTTAGTCACATCATATACATCAATAAGTTTTTTTTGCTATGTGATTTTTTGGAGGGCAGGTGGCATTTGTTTAAGTATTTGTTTATCATATATAGTTTATCATCACTAAATATGCTAGGCACAGAGATATTAACAAAATACTTCAGGACAGTGTATACATATAAATTAAATACCAAAAAGAGAAGTTCAATAAATTCACCAAAAATGTGCTACAAGGCTGAATGATGAATATAAAAAAATTAAGTGATATTCTTGGGCTTAATTGTTAAATATAGATACCCAATCCCACACCAAATTTTGAGTATTTCACCTTCTACAACCAAGCTGTCTTTATACAATGTCACCATCTAGTGGCCAAAATGAAGAAACATCTGGAGAAACATCATTCCATATTTCCTTTCTTGCCCCCTAACAAAATTATGTACATGTGTAAATCAAACTTTCTCCCTCGACAGTTCTCTAAGAGCTCAATACAGCCTTCCAAAGTCAATCTTGCCCACTATATCCATGCTTATCTGAAATAAAATAATGTGCTAATGAATCCAACCATTATGAAATACAGTAGAGCCTTTAATAAATGTCTCTCCACATCTTTATTTTCCCTCCTTATTTTTTACTTAGTTATCTTGTTCCCTCTCTTTGTTGAATGTGCATCTAACATTATCATATTCATTATCTGTAGATGACTGTAAGTTATGTTTATGATATACTACCCTAAAGTATGTCCCATGTTATCTCTAGCACAAAAAGAAAGTCTCTTCTTTAGGTTACTACAATTTTTTTCTGAAGTTGACAGAAAATACACTTATATTCCTGAAGGAAAAATCACTGGTTTTGACATTCTTTTGAAATATAAGAGCACACTCTATGGGAAAGAGGGATAGTGTTCAAGTACAGCTATCTTTTTCACCCAAACACAGGAAGATCCTTGCCCATTCCTAAATATGTTATCTGTACCATTTTCTACTCAGATAGCATTTTCTTATCAAAAGAATATTTCAAATAGGTCTCATGGCAAGACATATAAAGTCCATTTAACTACAAAAATTATGGAAGGAACTAGCTTGGAAATCTATTTAATAGGCATGTTCAACAAATATTCAATTCAATTCATATATTTATCAAGCACCTGGAAACCAGATATAAAACACAGTATTCTAGTAAATAGACAATGAATAAGTATTTATTGTATGAATGAAAATCCCAAGAAAGTAAGCCAATATCTACAAAGATAAAAACAAATGCCATAATTCCTCAAACTAAGGAATGTATATTCGTGGGCTCTAGGGTACATAAACACCTTTAAAGGGATATACAGGTATAGATCATTTTAAGTGACTCAATCTCCAGCTCTTCAACTTCTTGCATTCTTTACTAAACTGACCTACCTGAAAGGGTTCCTGTGGCAAATATTCCATTACCATTCTCCTTTTCCACATTCCCTCTGCTCAAACACTCTTCTCCTTATTTATGAAGAAGCATTACACCTCTCTCCTTACTATAGTTAGTATACTTCAGGAAGTATAACCAAAAGACTGAGGCAAAAAAACATTCTGAGTGATTTCTCTTGAGGAAGACAGTTCATTCATGAGGTCTCATTAGGACCATGGCTAAGGCAATCCTCAAAATGATACACTTTCCCTGGCTCTATTTTTATGTTCACAAATAACCATTTAACTGTTGATCTGTTTTTCTGGACTCCTCAATTCTCAGAAAGGGACCCAGCACTTCAATCACTACAAAGACATAGTCCCTTTGGTAAGCAAACAAGCATTTTAGTTTACACCTCAGTTTGGGGTCAATTTTATTATTCCTACTCTGTCTCTAAGGGTCTGCTTGATCTACGGATCTTTTTTCTACATCTTTGAGGTTGACTGATCAATGGTAATTCACCAAAAATTCCACTCTGTGAAGTTCCTTTGGAGCTAGTCTTTCCAGGATAAAAGCTTGCACTGCACACTATCTTCCAAAATTCAGTCATACTGCTAGTGAATATTACTTCTTTGTAGGAATTTAAGTTCCTAATTTACTTGTTGGATATATGGCCAGTTGTTGATCTGAAAGGCAAAGAAATGTATTCTGTTCAAACATAATGTTAGAAAATAATGCTGTCATCTCACTGATTTCAACTGACTTACGTTTTTCAACATTCTGTATATGCCAAATACGAAACTCAAAGTCTAACATTGATTCTTTTTAATATAATCTTTCACATATCTAATCTTCATTTTATAAATAATACAATTTTATATAATCTTTGATCTGATGAAACCATATTTTAAGTTGAGATTAAAAAGTATGTTTTAATTTATAAATATAAAACAACCATACAGGCATATATTAATTTTACTTACAGATGTTTCTCTCCCTGAAAAAAAGAATCTATTCTTACTCAAAAGTGTTTAGTGAAGCTGGTTTAAGACTTATATGGGGTAGGATGTGGTAGCTCACACCTATAATCCCATCACTTCGGGAGGTTAAGAAGGGAGGATCACTTGAACCCAGGAGTTTGAGACCAGCCTGGGCAACATAGTAAGACCCTACCTCTACAAAAAAAAATTTCAAATTAGCTGGGTGTGGTGGTGCATGCCTGTAGTCCTAACTATTTGGGCAGGTAAGGTGACAGGATCAACTAAGCACAGGAGTTTGAGTTACAGTGA